TTCGAAATTTACCATCAAGTTCTTAAGAATCGTCCATTCACAATTCCTAAAGATTTTTCCGCTAGCGAGAACTCCCGAAGTCCGCAAATAGGGCACAGTAATTGGCTCCCCTGCCCTAGACTCTGTTAACACGTTCCGTGCCGAGCTTTTTTTACTCGAATCTTCACACTTTGATATTTTACTAAAACTTGATGTATTACGTGCAATTATTAATTCTCGTACACATAACAATGTAACAAAAACATATCAACGCCCATTCTTGCGGTGGGAATTGATTCTTCGGTTCTAAATTTCTTGTAAACAATTTGTTCGGTTCACTAAGTAAACATGCAAGCGTGTACCATCGATGGTACACGTGGCACGGAACGTGTTAAATTCAGAACGATGTTTCACTTTTTACGCAGCCACGCGGAAACAAGAGTTTAAAAACTAATTTACAGTTCTGTAATGACACGTATAGATGAAAATTGTTGCGTTGTTTCCGCTCGCCCGCACCCAAACATTTTTAATCACCCCCTCGCGACAACTTCGTACTTTTTCCGCTCTCGCCTACTTNCGGCATTCAAGGAGAGGGCGTAGTAATTGGAACACAGTGTTCAGGCAGGGAGCACAGTAACTGAAGCCCAGTATTTAGGGAGGGATTACAGTGTAGCCCTGATTTTGTATATCATAGGCACACAGTAATTGGCTCCAGAAATATTTTCCTTCCTCTAAGTATTCAAAGAAGATTTGATGTTTGTTTCGTTGGACAATTTATATCGATAAAAGAAACTTCGAAATTTACCATCAAGTTCTTAAGAATCGTCCATTCACAATTCCTAAAGATTTTTCCGCTAGCGAGAACTCCCGAAGTCCGCAAATAGGGCACAGTAATTGGCTCCCCTGCCCTAGACTCTGTTAACACGTTCCGTGCCGAGCTTTTTTTACTCGAATCTTCACACTTTGATATTTTACTAAAACTTGATGTATTACGTGCAATTATTAATTCTCGTACACATAACAATGTAACAAAAACATATCAACGCCCATTCTTGCGGTGGGAATTGATTCTTCGGTTCTAAATTTCTTGTAAACAATTTGTTCGGTTCACTAAGTAAACATGCAAGCGTGTACCATCGATGGTACACGTGGCACGGAACGTGTTAAATTCAGAACGATGTTTCACTTTTTACGCAGCCACGCGGAAACAAGAGTTTAAAAACTAATTTACAGTTCTGTAATGACACGTATAGATGAAAATTGTTGCGTTGTTTCCGCTCGCCCGCACCCAAACATTTTTAATCACCCCCTCGCGACAACTTCGTACTTTTTCCGCTCTCGCCTACTTGCAACGGGTTTCTCCAAACAAATTCATTCGGACATTCGAACGAGTCTCGGTGGGTGGATTTCGACAGGGTCATCCGTCTTGCCGGCACTTAGATCTAACGTAGGAGCGAGCGTATTTCTTTAGCTGGAGCGTGTCGGGGCCCGTACGCCGCAACTACAAAGCGGCGCGGCGGCCTAACAATTACACGAACGATTGACTAACGAATGTCGATGGCTGGCGAGCGACTCGTATAACGTAATGATTGGCCGTCGCGCTGATTTGGTTGTCGTTACAGATTCAATTACGCCTCTCACGCCGGCTTGATATTTTGCGCCCTTCCTGGGCTCGACGTCCCGGAACGACGACAGGACCAGGAACTTTGATCTCCGACCGACGCTGTCCCTCGGATCGAATTAAACGCAGCTACGCGCATAAATAACGGAAGCCGTGACACAATCATTTGTCGCGATCGCCGCGACTCTCCTCGAGAGAGTATATAAAAATATATATAAATATAGAATTTTAATTAGACACCGTTCCGGTTACGAATCTCTCCTTCTGCCGTGTCGTTCGGCTACCGTTTTCTGCTCAACCCAAGGCGGAATAGCCGATTTTATGGCAGCCGTACGGCTAGGATTCGTTTGGCAATAGAGGGACATCGTAATTCAGTCGTATGGAATGCAGTAAATTCTCTCCAACTGTTCCTCAGCTTGTAAACAAAAATGGACGATTCGGGAAGAGGAGACACGAATTAGTAGATTATGCATGAGAAATCTTTTCCACGTGTCTGAATTAAGGACTCGCATAATAAGGATCATGCTGCGCGACGGGTAAATAGTGTTTACGCGATTTATTATTTAAGATCAAGGACCATTTGTTCGCGCGTGTCATTTAATATGTCTGGTAGCATCGATTTGTACACACGAAAAAAATCAAATTCGATCAAATTCGGTCAAACGCACGTGCGTCAGCCGAAGGCTGTCGGCTAACGCAGCTGTCAATTCCACACGTCATTTCCTCTTCTTATAAACAATGACGACGGCAGGGCATTGTACGTTTCCAATCGATCCCATTATCTCCTAACTGCCTGTTTATGTTAAATCATTGCGGGAAACAAATGACGCGCTCCGCGGATTGCAATGTTTCCATACATCGGCGCAAGTAGAAACAGCCAGCCACGGACGGACGGATACGTACATGCATAGGTGCGCGCTTTAACAGTCGTACGTTCGAAATTCGATTGGTTTCGGGGGTATAAAGCTGCGCGCAAACAAATTCAATATGCATCTTTTAATTGTTTTCATTCGGGAACTTTTGTGCTAATTGGATAATTTGCCCGAATATCGAATAACGATGAGACACTGACAATACACAGAATTCATTTCGATGCGTCAAAGAGTTGAAAACAATTTATTCATGTATCGCGTCGAATTTGTTTCATTATTTCGGCGAGAGCTACTGAAATTCCGTGGCATATTTCAATTACTGTGCTTCTATTACGAATTCACAAGCGGCACAGATAACGCACACTAGACTTTAACATAAAATCATCGCTCCAAAATTATCTGTTCAAAACGAATAACACGTTCACAGCTGTTCGGTTCAAGTAGAAACCGTGTGCCATTGTCGGACACCGCGAAAAAATCTATTTTAAACTAGATCGAGCTCCGATCGAAAAAATTCTATCGTCGTATGCTCACTTCGTCGGTCGTAACACGTTAACGCTTCTCCGCCGCGACGACAACCTCAGAAATTTCGTAAAATTAATAACGTGCAGTATTTAATCAAATCATAATTCAAATGCTAAGTTGTACGACATCGATCACTTTCTTAACGCGACGGAGCTTGGGCTCGTTTAACGCTGGATTTACGGGGCACAAAAATCAGCTGTTTTATATTAGTTAATAAAAGCAACAATAAGACATTTATTCTCTGATTTTTAATCAGTGTCGTCGTTACATTTGCCGTAAGTAACGTATAAATTGAATAAACAACTCATAATTGTATCTTTGCGATATGAATAATGAAAAAATTAGTGACCCGTCATTTTGACGGGTTCCGTGTAAATAATGTTATTCGACGATCTACTTTCCGCTAATTAATCAATAAAATCCGTTCAGTATACAGAAAAACCTTAACAAACAAGTTGAAAAGATTTCCAAACAAAATTATAAATAATCCTAAGCGTGCTGTTCGATGTTTGCGTTTCGCGGATCATAACAAAAGATTTGGAAGATCTAATTAGAGTCAGCGCGTAGAAAAATTCTTTTCCAAATGTCTCAATTCACAAAGCTCTCGCGTGCTCGAATTTCAAACAAACCGACCTCTTCTGATTCATCCAGCGTTTACACGATCGCGACGCCGGAACCGCTTGTCCTTGCACCGGTGATAAAGTTGAATCGGTTCGCAACGTTATGTTTAAACGCGAAATCGTTAAGTTGTATCGTATAACACGATGATTAATTACGCGTTTCGCGCGAGGCCGGTTCCGCGAAGGCGTGCGTTTCGTGCGTCGACGGGACATTCTAGGGATCAGGCCTGCTGGATTAATTGCATCGTGATAGCCGTTGAACGGTCTCCCGCGACGAGAAGTCAACGGCTAAGGTGGGCCCTTGTACAGCGGCGACGTGACCGATGTTCGCGGGACGGATATTAGCTGGCCGAGGATCGGAGAGCCGGTAACATCAAAGGGCCGCAGAAAAATTTGAACGGCCGAACCCGGCGCAGGAGAATCCCATGCTCGCGGATGCCTTCGTCAAACGATCAACACGATTCTCTTTCCACGCCTATCCCGAGATCTCTCTCTCCCTCCTCGCCCTTCGGCCTTCGCCTCGACGCCGGGCCCTCCGTCTCCGTCGCACCCGGCACTCGCGAGGCTTTCCGCGAGGAGACGCGTATTTACATGCACGATCGTTTCTCATGTTCCGCCGGGGCCTGTCCTCGCGCTGAAATCCACGCGGATCCGAGAGTCCGCGCGTCCCACCGCGACGCGCTCGTTCAGGGTCCACGGGAACCGCGCGATCGAGACGGAGCCGACGTCCCAAACCGGTCGTAACGTTTCCGCGGGCACGGAAGAAACGGCAAGTGGAAACGGACGAACCCAGACCATTCGAGTATTTCGTTCGTTTACCCAGTCACAACACGACTCGACGGGGCGAGAGCTAGGCCCGTACGCTCCAGCCTGGGCGCCCTCTGCCGGACACGACTCCGGCATCCCCTAAACCGGCCGCCCGGTTCCAGGCGCGAGAACCGTCGCGAAATTTCCCCCGATTCTCTCCGAACTCCGTTCGAGCAACATTCCCGAGCAGCATCGTTCATTCGTCGGCTACGTTTGGTCGCGCTCGCGCGATCGATCTCCACCCTTCGCAGGCCGCGCGATATTTTCTCAGCACCGGAATCGCTGCGACCAGGGTACAAAGGTGGAACGGAATTTGCTAGGTTCGAGGCAACCCGCCGTGGCCCGCGAGGACGATGATCGCCACTCGTGGCGCCCAAAGGGCAACGTTTCGACGGTCCTGGCGGCGAAGCTCCGGCATTGGCTGTTTCGCGGGCGTGGGAGCTCCGCAGGGGTTCGGTTAGTCTGCACGGGTAATAGAACTGCGCTGGGGGTGGGCGTAAGAACGAGGAACGGTTAGTATATCCTCGGGAAGGGTAGGAGCAATAGCCGGTCGGCGCAAGTGCAGCGGGGATATCGCGGCCTGGCGGAGCCCAGTCGAGTCCCGTGAGTCCGGGCAAACACAGCTATTAAAGTGGTACGTGGTGGTGGTGTAGGCGTCGTCCGGGACTGAGATTTCGAGGGCCGCCATCGGGGAAAGCATCGGGCGCGGATCGGTGTCCGCGCGTCCCAGTGTCAGTCCGGCGACATCACGCGTGGTACGCATCGGCGAGCCATAGAAGCTCTCCTTGTCGCGTTTTCAGCCTCCATGGAAGAGCCAGCCGGACAGTCTTATTCCCCTGTGCCGCGTGCGAGCAGAGTGTGTGTGCGTGTGTGTGTGTGAGCGCGTCGTGCGACGTGCATGTGTGACACCGAGCGAGCGAGCGAGCGAGCGAGAGAGAGAGAGAGAGAGAAAGAGAGAGAACGAGCAAGTGAGCATTCGAGCGAGTGAACGAGCGAAACGGGGATCGCGGGAGGAAGAAAGAGAGAAAGAGGGAGCGAGAGGGAGGCAGAGCGAGGATAGAGAATGACGGAAAGAATGAAGGCTAGAATGGGTTGCGAAGAGGATAGAGGGTGAATGAGCCAGAGAAAGAGGGAGAAAGAGAAGGTACGGAGGAGCCGCTGCGTGTTACTACGAGCCGAAAGAGCGGCCGCTCGACCGGACCCGGCGAGGAGGAGGCGAGAGCTGTCACTTCGATCGCCATTTTAGCGCCGAGGCGGTGAAGAACCACCGGGTTAGGGTCTGGGTTATGCACGCTGGCAGCGGCGACGACGGTCCGGAGCGCCCTGACACGACGGACGCTGCCGCTGTTTATGGGCTGTGGCTGTGGCTCCTCCGTTGAGCTTTTTCCACCCGTGTTCGGTGCGCGCACCGACCCGTCCATGTGCACCCGTACCTGTGCCCCTCTCGTACCTCCGCTCGTACGTGTACATGTGCGAGCGCGTGTGCGTGCGCTGGCCATCGAAGGTACGGCTCCGCGGACCGTCCAGGGTGAAAACCGTGTTCGGGAAACTAGAACGGCCGGCATTCGGCTCCTCGAGTGTGTACGCCGTGTGTCGTTGCGCGACCGCCCCCTTTTTTCTGCACCTGTTAGCAGTGTCCTGCCGGCGGCAGCGATCTCTCGTCCCTCGGTGGGGACCCGCGAAGGGACGGGTTTACCGAACACGGCCGACGTCGAACCGGCGGGTTCTCGACCTGTGCCGGTGTGCGGTAATCTCGAACGGTGTCTGGTTTCAGGTAAATCGGGAGTCTCGTGCGCGCCGTGCGACGACGAGTGTTGAACGTATGCGCGTGGTCGACTCGAAATCGTGGGGGTCCGGGGTGGGGAGCTCGGTGGGAGCAGCTCGGAACGCGAGGGGGACGGAGCGACGCGGGCTTAGTGTGCACGGGACGGAGACGGGGACAGTGAGAACAGCCGAAGAAGGGTGAAAGAGGAAAGAGAAAGGGTACGGCGCGGAAAGGAAAGAAGGAGGAGAGAGATATAGCGGCCGGTGGTGATGGTGCTGCTGCTGCTGGTAGTGGTGGCGGTCGTGGTGATCCTGAGTGTGCGGGCTCGGCGTGCGTGTTGCCGTGTGCGTGGCCGTGTGTATGCGTGAAAGAGTGAACGGGGTTAGGGAAAAGAGATAAACGAAGAGAACGGCGCCATACTGGCTCCCCGTAGTTTTCGTGGCACGTTGGGCTGGCTGGCTGACTGACTGTCGGTACGTCCGTCCGTCCGTCTGTCCGTCCGTCCGCCTTTTCCTCGTCTTTCTTCCTTCCTTTCTCTCTTCCCCCGCACCTTCCGATTCAGTTTACGGATTCCTCGATCGTCGCCGGCATCCTGGAAGCCTCTGATCGATCGTAAATGGTTTTTAGGTATGGCACTACGACGACGGTAGGCCGTCCTAGCGCTGGAAAACCCGAACGGACGGTCCCACACGTTCCTCGTTCCGGAAAACCGACCGGGGGCCTGTCACCGCTGCGACACGCCGCGCGACACAAGGGAAAACAGGCAGCCCGAGAAATAGAGCGAGAGAGAGAGAGAGAGGGAGCCCACCTGAGAGACACCCCCTCCAAACACACCGAGACCAGTGGCGGCGGTGTCGCGACACCGCTCGAACTACCTCCGGCCTGGACGCGAACGTGAAACCCGCGGAGGACGCATACCGAAGTAATCCACACGCCGGAATCGAAATAGGAGGGCGCGCACCATGATTCTGCGCGTCTGAGTGTGTTTTGTGTGTGTGTGGTGTGCGCGGTGCCGGCGGCGCTCGCGCGCGCGAGACAGGGGGACCGCGATAGATAGATGGAGATAGATAGGTAGACTAGGTGTAGATAGCGATAGATAGGACAAGATAGAGGCGGAAGGTCGCGAGAATAGGAGAAAGGGGTTCCCGCTGAATAGTAGCCAAAGTGCGCGACGGGAAATAGTGACAACAACGCACCGCTTATCAGAGATAGAGAGATAGGGAGAGAGAGAGAGAGAGAAAAAGAAAGAGAGAAAGAAAGAGAGAAAGAAAGAGAGAGGGAGAGTAGGGCCTGAATCGGAACGGATCGGGTAGAATCGCGCGCGGTAAAGGGTCACGGGACGATGTTATCGTTGGTGGTCGCGAGTTCCTTCGATCCCTGACGAGCAGTGGCTCGCGCGCTCCGTGTGACCGATTAAAAGAAGACTCGCGAGTGTGTATCGATTGAAGAGAGCCGTGGGTCGCGGGCGGGAACGGCCTGGCAAGAGGTAAAACGATATTCCGACGACGACGACGACGGTGCAACGAGGGAATCGAGAGCAGATAAACGGGATCGAGTGAGAGGGACGTGATCGAGGAGCAAGACTCGCGAACAGAACGAGAAAGAAAGAGTTTAACGGCGGCTGTGAGTGATCCGTAGTGCGTGTACCGAGAAAAGAGCAACAGAGCCCAGCGAAAACAGAGGGAGACAGGAGAGAGAGAGAGAGAGAGATCGAGACAGAGAGATAAAGAGAGAGATAAAGATACGTAGAGTGCGTGCTCTGAAGCCGGAGCACGTCGCGAAGGAGTATCATCGAGGACGGGGGGTCCAGCGCGACATTGGGGGGGCGTGTGAGACTGATTTTGCCCCCCCTACCCCCCTCCCTCGTCGCCGTTGCCCAAAACTGTGACTTCATCGTCCCACTCGGGCAATCTCGTCGCTGGCGTTACAACGTTGCCGTTTAGGTGAGTCCAGACATTCCAAGGATTCTTTTCGTCCTCGCGTGTATCCTCCGCGCCCGTTTCTCTCCGTCTGACTCTCTTTATCGCGGCGGTCGGGTCGAATGCAAATTATTACGGTCACGGCAGGGGATCGAAAGAGAGAGAAAAAAAGGGAGAGAGAGAGAGGGGAGGGAGGAGAGAAATGGAACCGGGACGCGCGGGGTAAAATTGTGAAAGGGAAGTGAAAGGACCAGGGGGGGGGGGACTAGTTTTTGTCAGCCGAGGTCGAGTTAACGTTGCGATTACGTACAATGTCGCGGCGGGAACTCATTGTACGGTTGCTAACGGGCCGCGTTCGTTTCCTGGTGGCCACCCCTGCTAAGGAACAAACGAGCCTCGAGCAGAATGTCTCTTCTTTAAGTGCTTTTTCCGCATGTACCCGGCCAGACTCTTTGTTTTCGTTCACTGTGTTACCGGTCTGAAGAATCGCTCCGCACAGCCGCGCGACGGTATTTTCCTTCTGATTCCGTTTCTGCTTCTGTTTCTGCCTCCGATTCTGCTTCTGCTCCTGGCCGGAAAGGGGGGGGCTCGGCGTCGGTCCTACCAGCGAAGCACGCGGCTCGCTCCAATTTCGGAGCCGTGACTCGTTCTCGACCTCGGCCGGATCAAAGTGGCGGGCAAGGACTCGCGAGGTCGTTGATCCCGAAGCGTTACGTCGACGAGTCGTTCGTCGGGTTCGAGAGTGTTTTTTCTGTTCGCGTAACGAAATCCTGCGCGTTTCTGGGGAGACAGGCGATTGGTTAGATTCGCAGTGTCGAATGGATCGGAAGTCGACGGACGCGGTAATAATCATTGTGTCGGGACGAATATTTAGGGGATCCGAAATTGGGCTTCTTCGTTCCAAGTTTGCTGGAGGAAGCGGCCTGAACGCGAAGAGGCGGGTGTCTGTCGGTGGATGTCAACCGAAACGCTCAGATGTCACAGATGTTCTTTAATCTCTTACTATTGGGAAATTTCTGGTGTCTCGTTTTCTTCGTAGAATGTCAAGGTTATAACTATACTCACCGATCGATCGTCGAATCGTTTTTTTAACCCCTTCGCGACTAAGAGAAACATTTTTCCCCATTTTAAAATTGCTGATCGTCGTTTTTAATTATTGGTCATTTTCGGTACAAAATGCAGTTTTCCAGCGCACAATAAGCAAAAAGCGGAAAAATTGAAAAGATGTGCTAATTGCGCCAAACGCCGCATAGAAAGTAGGACGCATAATATATATACTATATGCAATGTTCATCTTTGCTTCACAACCGAAAGTAATTTTATTTCATAATTTTGTATTATTTTAGTTAACATTTCGTTACAATAAACCGATAAATAAAAGACATTGCATAATAAGCCTAACCATAATTTGTGTCACCTTTATAGTCTATTAGGAGAAATATTTTCTATAAAATTCCAAAAGAACTACATACTGTTATATTTATTTATTTTACGTCTGAACAAAATAAAATAAACCGTTACATACTTATATTTACGCTTAACAACCTTACGGCCATGTAAGGGTTAAATTCATTTCATTTTGATCGGATATTTTTGAAAACAGACGACAACGTAGGAGACGCGTAAATCCTGTCTCTACGAAATGTTTCAAAATTGGAAATGGATGGTAAAGGTATTCGAGAGAGAGAGGTAGTAGATGTTCGATAGTTTTTCCCGTCGTTTCATCGGTGGTACGATTACAGTATCATGTTGCAGAAACGAGAGGCATGTGTTTCATTCGGCTGGGAAGGAAACTTTTGGAATTGTTTCTAGAATTTATATTTTCGGCTCGCGGTCTCCATTCTAGTCGATGACTGACGTCATCCTATTTTATTCTAATCCTATCGTCTCCTGCCGATTCCTGAGCATTGAATTTTTAACGACAACATTTTGTTCCTGACCTCCGTAAACTATGACCTCTCGGCTAGCAGTTTCTTGTATTTATAGAATCATCTTGATGCATTTTTACACGAAGTATGTTCAAAATACTGCATGGAGGGACGAATTGGTGAGAGTTTATATAGATCCAGGCATCACACTTTTCGAGCACATTTTCTTTGCGGGGACTAAATTTAAGCGAAGTGCAGATCCTTGTGTATTTGTAAACCGCAGAATCTCTAAAGGTGGGGAAAGTTACATGAAATTATAGAAGAGTGAAAAAATGTGGAATGCAAATTTTCCATTTAGGGCATCATTTCCGATGCGTCTGTGCGTGAGCCGCTGTGCAAAGGGCTAATATGTGCCCTCGAGTGCAAAGGGCTAATATGTCAAAAAAAATGTAAGAGAATAGTTATAATTTAATATTTAAATAGGAACTAGTTAGTATTAACTAACATTATCATTATCATTGTCATTGGTCATTTATTATTATATAATAAAAATAATAATATATATGATATATATGACAATATTATTATTATTATTATTATTATTATTGTTGTTATTATTATTGTTATTGTTATTATTATTGTTATTGTTATTATTATTATTATTATTACTATTATTATTATTACTATTATTATTATTACTATTAACCAGTTAGTTACTAAATAAGTACTTGTACAGTACTTTATAGGTATAAAAATAGTCAGTAAAAAACGTCACCGCAGTATGAATACGGTTACCATCGTAGCGAGACTCGTCGTTGGAGTGCGGAGGGTTAAGCTTTTTTTCCAGTCGGTCGCATGTCGCTCTGTGTTCACAAAACCGCGAGGAGTATAAACGTATTCGCAGCACTGACTTATGGGAACACTTTGGTGATACCCTTACCATTAAACGATCAATTTGTAAAATCAAGAGAAGTCGGTGAATTCGCCTCGGCCAGTAGTTCTGACCGTTACCGAACAGATCATCGAAATCAAACGAACAATTTCCCCGAACATCCGCACGCAGATAATCATCATCAGCGATGCTTGAAATTGTTTGCGATCTCTTTTGCGATTAGCCTCACACGGCCGCGTATCGCCGTTACGGCGAACAGTACACCACGGTTAAGTCGCGCATGGTTTATCGCGGCATACCGATTTTATGGGAGCCCGGGCGCGTATCATCATTTAAGATGATCGGGGCGAGAATCACCCCGGCCGCGGCCGATTAAAAATGACATCGCGAACGGCGCGCTCGGATTGTTTGCCTTTCGAAAATACTTATCGTGTACGGTTAACCGTCCCCACTTTTATTAGTCGTATCGCGCGATCGGAACGCGCGCCGTTGAATAAACTAAATTTTTCACGTATAAAGGGTTCTTCGGTATCCACGGCATATATTGTTCAAACAATGCCACCCCCTCCCACCCCGGCTCCGCGGCCTCCTCGCAACCGGCGCGTTGCTTTGTTTGCGCGGAACTCGGCCTCGCCCGAATATGGCAGCGAAAGGGGTATTCATTTTTGTTAACGGTGCAATTACTTTCGGAATGATTGACGACAAATAGTAGCCACTGTTTGCGCGACCGCGCGCCGACGGATTATATGTTTAGCGATCGCTTGCAAGTAGATCCCCTCCTCTCTGCGCCCCGCTCGTTTGTTTTTTGCTTTTCAATTCGTTTCGAGAATATAATTGATCGACACTGTGCAACGGTGAAATTCAATTGTCGTCGGCACAACGCTCGAACGAACGCTGTTGATCGATACGCGGACAGAGGCATCGGTGCACAGTGATCGATCCGTCGCGAAAATGGGACAAAGATCATTATGGCGTGAGAACTTGCTTTATCGACAGCTAACGAAAATGTAACGCGCCTTATTTCTCTCCGCGAATGAACGTATCGTTTCCCTCGAGCAACGTCATCTTTGATTTATACATTTTCGTTGTAGGCGAACCGATCAGGCTTGTTATCAGAGGGTGGATGGCGACGTTATGGAAAGCGTAACATCGTTCATGGCTTTCAGACAATGAACCGAGAAGCTCGTTAAAACTCGCAGTTGTTTTTAAATTTCGTGGTTGCGGTAAGAATAAGCAGCAGATTACAGTAAATTCTCCCTAATTGACGCTCGGATTGTTCAACAGAAGTGGACAATTTGGGAAGAGGCGATACGATTAATCGAGCCTTGGGGCTCGTTTTTATAGTTGCCGATTATCGACTGTTTTGTCCGTACGTTCGGTTAGTCGCCTAACGTACATGCGCGACCGAACTATTGTACGCTCGATTCGCGCTTCCTACGGCAAATTAATGACGTGGAAGGGTCTCTAGTAGTCTTAGAGAACTTTATTTTTTGTGTTGCACTCTCTGCGAGCGCTGGTGGAAGAATGCTCTTCCAACGCTGGAAAGTCGTGGAAGAGCACCCGTGGATGGAGGTAGATTGTTTATTATTGGTCGAGGCACGAATCACCCCTTGGAGGGGGGTGTCTGCCTTGACCCTTGTTGGGGCCTGAGAGGGTTTCCCCAATGGTGGGACCTTTTTATGGCCCTTGTCTCTGGACGCAACATCGACAACTATAAATTATGCCATGAATTATCGATATTAAACGTATTAAAAAATTATAAGATTCGTTTTCACATGATCACACACTATAAAATGGTAGATTTTATTATTTTTACAAAATACCGCAGTATTTGGGGCGACCGCAGTAATAGCCACATATTCTATAGTATCGTATCTCTATATCTATCTATATCTATCGTCTATAGTATCGTATCTCCTCTTCCTAAATTGTCCAGTTTTATTTATAAGCTGAAGGAAAATCGGGCAGAATTTACTGTATACGTATTAAACAATAATATTAATGGACGATTATAAATCAAATGTCGAATATCGACCTCGCAATCGATAAAATACTGCGATATCAGATTATCCAGTCGAAGCCATACATCTTGAAAACAGTATTAATCGTATACTCGTATAGAACTGCTTAAAATCCGAGTGATAGTCGTCACACTTGCTCGATTAGTGCCCCTTCCATAGGCGTCGACACAGTTGTCCACATTATTGAAATGGTGCGGTATAATTTTGTTAATGCAACATTGTAGCTCGTAGAAAAGCAAATTC